ATTTGAGAGAGAGTGAGAGAGACAAAGAGCACAAGGGGGGGGGAGCAGGAGAGGGAGAAGCAGACTCCCTGCCGAGCAGGGAGCCCGATGCCTGACTCGATCCCGGGACTCCAGGATCATGACCTGAGCCGAAGGCAGACGCTTAACCGACTGAGCCACGCAGGCACCCCACCTTTCTCAGCTTCTTAAACTGAAACTCTGTGCCCATTAAATAATAAATCCCATCACCCCCTCACCCCAGGCCCTGGAAACAACCATTCTACTTTCTGTCTCTATGAACTCTAGGTGCTTCATATAAATGAAATCGTACAGTATTGGTCCTTTTCATATTTGGTTTATTTCACCTAGCATAATGTCTTCAAGGTTCATCCAAGTTGTGGCTTGTATCAGCGTTTCCTTCCTTAAAAAAGGCTGAATGACATTCCATTGTATGTGTCTACCACATTTTCTTTTTTACCATTCATCCATCAATGGCCACTTGGGTTACTTCTGTTTTAGCTATTGTGCATAATGCTTCTGTGAACATGGATGTAGAAAGATTCATTCCTATAATCAGCATTCATACCAGGCATGCAGCTCCCTTCTCCCAGCATCTCCATATTATTTCCCAAAGGTGTGCCACAATAAACATAAAATTCACAGCTAATGGATGTTCTCAATGAATTTTCTTTAATGTATCAAGTCTCTAGTTGACTCCTCATTAAGAAAAGGAAATTTGCTGTTGTTGGGAATGAAATGTCTGTTCCATTTAGTGTCTCTTTCTGGGAGCAAGGGCCTCCTGAATATAAACTCAGAGCCAGAGCCAAGATATTAATCTGTGAAGCTCAAGTATTGATTTGGTGATGCCATTCTCTTCCCCTGATGCTATTCCTATCAACTCAAATTACCTCTCTGAATATAAGAACCATTTTTTTTTCTGGGTGCACCGGGCAGCTGGTGACAAGCTGCTTGCTGATGGGCTGTGACAGAGATGAGCAGTCAGCTGCTCCTGGGCAGTCGAGGTCCTCCCTGCCAGAGTGTTGCTGGTCAAAGGAATTTGCAGTCCTGAAGCCAAGGGGCGGACCGACATCCACTTGGACAGACTCGGGCCTCCAGCCTGATTTCAGTGACCCCCAAGAGCGCTCAGAGAAGGGGAAGAGCCCCTGAGCTTATGGTGGAATTATTCTAGAGAATTATATAAAGGGTGTTATCTCCTCAGATTATCATATTTCTTTTCTGGAATCTCCAGTTGACCTGTGCGGCTCCACGAAGCTGGCGGGACAGCTTTCCCTCGGGCATCCGGTGGAGGCGCTCTTACACTCTCATTTCATGCCCACTGTGTTTCACCCCTGGGTCAACTCTTTGGGTTATCAGATATGTGTGTGAAGAAGAGAGGGATACAATCACACCAGCTCATTTGGAAAATAAACACTGAAACTGGATTTCATTTTCTGTGCAATCACTTTGGCTTTGAAACTAAATCTGGACGTAAAGACGGGAACAATACAAGTTTCCAATTTTCATGTTAATTCCTGGCCCTCGAGGATGATTAACTATCTAGAAACTGAAAACACGGTTTGGACTAATCTTTTATGAGATCTGATTAAGAGCTTTACAGCGAAGATTTGCACCACATTAGAAAGGCTCAAACAATTTAGGAGAGTGCACATGTAAGGAATTTCCTTTTACCCGATTATAAAAGAAGAGCTAGAAATCACAGCCAACTGCACAAGAAAGGAAAGGGTAAGGACCGGCCTATTTGATCCCAAGGAAAAAAGTTTGCATGTTGGTGAGCACATTTGAAGACTTCCCTTGAGAACCCCTGTCGAAACCAAAAGACATAACGTGATGAGGTTACATGCATGTGGAGTCACAGCAGCATGCGATGTGTTGTAAGGATCCAAGGGAAGTCTGGGGACCTGCATAAAATCATAAAATATCTGTAGGCCACTGCTTAGGATTTACACTTTGCCTCCTCCTGGGTTTTATCCTGATCTCTCCACTTGAAACGCCTTCCCCTGTCCTTTTCCCTCTCCATTAATACATGCTTATCAAAATCTCTCCACCCAACACCTCACAGACTGACACCTCTTAGCCATAATCGTTCTTTGCACCCTTTCAAAATGTGTGTGTTTTGGATGCCTGGGTGGCTCAGTCAGTTAAGCATCTGCCTTCGGCTCAGGTCATGATCCCAGTGTCCTGGGATCGAGTCTCGGGTTCCCTACTCCCTGGGGTGTCTTGCTTCTCCCTCTGCCGGCCACTCCCCCTGCTCATGCTCTCTCATTCTCTCTGATAGATAGATAAATAAAATCTTAAAACAAAAACCAAAATAAAAAACACCACAATGTGTGTATTTTATATGTCCTAGGTCAGCCTACCTGGCGTTAATGATATATTTCTTAGTGGTCACTTTCAAGACATTTTTCACATGTGTGGTTTGTGCTCTTAAATCAGTCCATAAGTTCTTTGAGGTAGGTACTATTTGAGGGTGTATTTCTGTAGGGTGTCCTAAAGCTCAAACTTTAATATGCATGGGCCTCGATAGGGGATCTTGCTAAAATGAAAATGCTGATTCAGCAGGAATGGGATGGGGCTGAGATTTTGCATTTCTAAGCAGCTTCCAGGTATTGCTGCTGGTTGGAGGACCACCGTTTGAGTAGCAAGACCCTAAAACACCCAGGATGGTGCCTCAACATAAACAAGTAAAACTTTTTATTGGTAGTAGTTCCAGCCAAATTTCTCCTGTGAGACCCTGACCCCTTCAAGTAAATGCTACCTCACGATCAAAGGTAAGTCCTCTTCCCTTGGGTCATGACACTGCCCTCTAAACTAACTGAAGCCTGAGGACATGATTCTGTTATAATGCAATTGTTTGAATTTGTGTTTAAATTCGAGCAGTATGAGTGGTTTTACTAATGTCATTTGAGGGGACTGGTGAATTATTTGGGTGTGCATGGCCCAGCCCTGATACGCTAGGCCACTCTTGATAAGAGCCACAGTTAATACTAGCTGATCCCATAAACTAGAGCCCACACTAGCCTGCATAGAGTGTGGAGAGCCATAACTCGCCTTCTGGATAAGGGGCCCTCACTTTTCTCCCAGATGGGTTAAGTAGGTGGAGGCCAAAACCAAGCTTACTTTTGTTGACCTGTGTCCAGTTAAGTCTCTGTTTCCTGTAAGAAGTCCTGCTCAGTCAGAGGCCAAAAACCCCACCTTAGTTTCACCTTCAAAACTAGGAAAATCAGTCTTTGACTATACTAAGCAGACTTCAGTAAATGCTTTTGAACCAGGAGGTTCAGACCAGAAGGATTGGCGGGCACGAATGAAGCTACAGAAATGTCTGACTGGTCTCATGACCTGGCACCGATAGGAGGCCAGTCCAGCCTCTCAGGACCTCGGTTTGCTTATCAGCATAATCAAGGTGTTGGACTGGAAGCTTCTTATCAGGGCTAAGAGTCTGTGGTTCTGATCACCATATCAGGGAAAGGCCGGGGAGACAAGAATTCCACACTTGGCTCCGTGACAGCAGTGTGCCTGGGAGCCTCTTGGGGGGCTCTTCTCCTCTTGCTGGTCTCAGCCCCAGTGCTTGTCCTAACCAGGCACTAAGTCACCCTTTCCTAGACAATTGGGTGCCTCACATCCGCCAGCCTGGTGTAGAAAGGCTTGAAAAGATATACCCTATGCTGCCACCTATTGGCTCCGATTCTCTCCAGGCGATTCTTGAGCACCATTTGGATGTTCCGGAATCTCTAGGCCCTCTATAAAACACAATCCACCAGCGATGAGAACCTAAGGTGAGAGAATAAACATAGGGTACCTCCAGGGGCCACCTCATCACGGGAATCAGGGACTATGACTGTAAGAACCATAACTTTTTTTTTTTAACTTGGTGATTTCCTCCTTGTTATTTCCTGTCTGTTGCCCTGTAATGATTAACAGTAAAACTCTAAAAACAAAAAGGGCCAAGGTGTTTGTTTTCAAGGGCAGCAAGGAAGCAAGGAACTGGGGGAGACAGCACTCCAGGGGCTGGGGTAAACAACTCCAGGGGATGGAGTGGGTGGAAGGAGCTGAATAGCTGGAAGGAAAGCAGGTTGAGTCCTCAAGCTCATTTGAAAAAGGAAAGAGGGGGTGGGATAAAGTTGTGTTCTAGTGGGAATGAGGGTAACAGTCTTAATAGCGTTGTCATTCTTTCCTGTTTTGTCTTCTACATCTGTACCAGTCTATTTTCAATTTTTTTTTTTAATTTTATTTATTTATATGAGAGAGAGAATGAGATAGAGAGCATGAGAGGGGGGAGGGTCAGAGGGAGACCTGCGGAGCAGGGAGCCCGATGCGGGACTCGATCCTGGGACTCCAGGATCATGACCTGAGCCGAAGGCAGTCGCTTAACGAACTGAGCCACCCAGGCGCCCTGTACCAGTCTATTTTCAATCCAAGAAGATGAAGCTGTAGACTAGTGTTCTAGTTCAGGGGCCTTTGTAGGAAATGATACTCCTAGAGTGAAGATCCCAAATACAAAAGTCTAAGGTACCTGGCTGGGGTCAGCCATGGGTAAGACTATCGCGAGTGGGGGACTGTGGGGAACTGGGGAGCACTTACCCCATCTGGGGAGGCAACAGCTGCTCAGCCCTAGGTGGTTATGGCCCTAACCAAATTGTATGCTCACATTGCCTGATCTTTCAAATCTTCAAGAGAAGCTGGAAATTTAGATTATTATGTGAAGTCTCCTTATTTTTAAATGTTGGCAGCTAATGCTACTTTTAAAACAAACAACAGCAACATTGTGTGGGCCAAATAAAACGTGTCAATGAGACATATTTAGCCCAAAGGCCAACTCTTTGAAAACTTGGACCTAGAGCAGTTTGCATTCTGGAATCTCAAAGCGTTAAGAGGCTCCTTGTGAGGCATATGGTCTGTCAACAATAGCAAACTACAATCAAACAAGCAAATGTCAGATAAATTGGGGAAGTATTAAATGCTTTGTGTTTAGATTTGTTGGTTTGTTGATTTATCATATCCAGGTGAAAGCTTTGAATACATTCATTCAATGAATCAAGAAGCATTGATTGAGCACCTAATATATGCTGAGTAATGGTAAGTAAAACTTTTTCTGTAAAGGGCCAGATAGCAAATATTTTAGGCTTTGAGGGCCAAATCGTCTCTATCACAACTACTCAGCTCTGCCAGTTGTAGTTACAAAGCAGCCTAAGACAATACATAAACAAGTGGTGTGCTGTGTTCCAATAAAACTTTATTTACAACAGACAGCAGTCCAGATTTGGCCCCTTGGCTATAGTATGCCTATCTCTGATCTAGAAAATCTTAGGGAATTTGAAGCCTAATGCAACAGTTTTCTCTAAGGAAATCTACATGTTTATGCTTTGCCTATTCAGACAAGGAATTAGGGTGATATCACTATGATTTTAAGTTATATTTATAAGTAGTTTACCCCAAATATTACTCTGTTATCATTTAGTATAATACAGGCTATCATAATTATTCTATAAACATTAACAAGTTACCATACACATTGGAAATAATGCTGGTCCAACCAAGCTACTGAAGTTAGTTTGGCAAGACTATCTGAATATGAATTTAATTTAGGATAATTTTTCAGAAGGAGAACCATTTACGTGAAAGAGTACTGAATAGTTGACTGAGCTAGTTATCTTAATGGTGTGATTCAATTCCTGTTTTGACTGCATGTGAAACTGTTGTGAAGAGATAACATAAAGCTGAGCAAACCTGCTTGTCCTCTGAGTCCTATGGGACTTACTAACTACTTGGAACTTTCAAAAAGTTGTTATAAAGAGAACAAATGAAGAATATATCACTTTTATCTTTCTATTCTCAGTGAAGTAATAGTACATAGAAGATGCTCAAAAAATTTTTGCTTTATAAATGGAAGGCAACAGACTTTGGTTGGCCATGGTAACTTATTTAGATGTCACTTTTGTGAAATATTCACTAAAGATACCTAGCTATTTACAAGCCTGTAGATACTGTGTTTTGGCGCCCAAAAGCTCTTTGTAGCTCCCTTCTCCTTCACTTTCTTCTACTGTAGACTGCCTTGCAGGGAAAGGGACCATGATGTTCCAATTCTGGCCAACAAGATATAAACATAAGGATCTGCTTGGGGCTTCTGAGAACATTTCCTGATAGGGACTGATTCAGTTTGACCTCTTATCCCTTCCCTCTTCTTCCTGACACAGATACAATACCTTAGAAGTGCAGTAGCCATCTTAGAATGGGACAAAAGCGACAGACTAAGGATGGTGAAGTAAAAAAGAAAGAAGAAGCCTTGACGACATCATTGAGCAGCTGCATTAGCCCTGAACTGACCACATTTGGGTTTATTACATGAGAAGAAATTTAGTCCCCGGGGGGTAAAGCCATTGTTTGGTCTTCTATGACTTGCAACCCAACCCAATTCTATCTATTTGGGGGCTCCAGATCCAGAATTTGGAAAAAACCTGTATAAAAAAAAAAACTAGCTTAAAATGTCAAGGAAACCACCAAAAGGCCGAGATTTTTCTTGGCTAAGAGGGAGTAGGCAGATAACAACCAAATGCAAAATAGAGTTTCCTTCTATTCTTTTTTTTTTTTTTTAAGATTTTATTTATTTATTTGACAGAGAGAGACAGAGAGAGTAGGAACACAAACAGGGGGAGTGGGAGAGGGAGAAGCAGGCTTCCCGCTGAGCAGGGAGCCCGATGCGGGGCTCGATCCCAGGACCCTGGGATCGTGACTTGAGCCGAAGGCAGACCCTTAACGACTGAGCCACCCAGGCGCCCTGAGTTTCCTTCATTCTTACACTCCATCAGCATTGCTCAGGAGATGAAATTTCCAGCATCCAATGCAGCTGTATTAATTTTCTGACTTCCTGTGCCACTTTGGAAAGTTGGGTTAAAGACATTTAAAATCTTGTTATAAACTCAAATAATATATAAAGATCAAAATTCGTTTGTATACTTAGGAAGAAGTCCTATTACAATACATCAAGTTCAAAGAAAATGTTTTACAACATAGCTTCTAAGAGTATCAAAGGTATTGTCAACAGATTGTTTCTGAACTTGTTTTAGGTAGCAAACACTTTATGCCAACAAACTATCCAAAAAGTATTTAATAATATATGAATATGGTCTACTTTTTAGAGTTTCATGGCCCCTAAACCATCATATTTTGTGACATATACATTAGCTTTTTTTTTTTTAAAAGATTTTATTTATTTATTTGAGAGAGAGTGAGTACATGAGAGGGGGGAGGGTCAGAGGGAGAAGCAGACCCCCCGCCAAGCAGGGAGCCCGATGCGGGACTCGATCCCCGGACTCCAGGATCATGACCTGAGCCGAAGGCAGTCGCTTAACCAACTGAGCCACCCAGGCGCCCTATACATTAGCTTTTAAAGACCTTTGAAATCTTGGATTTTAGGAGCACCCAGTTGCCAAAATTTGGGCAATTTGGGCATCAAAAAATTAATGATGGTAATGGATTATAACACATTAAATGAAATGTAAAAATATCTATGAGTTCACAGTGATTCAAAAGCATGCCAGCTAGTAAATGTAGATGAATAAGGGAGTTTGCAACTGCCAATATAGTAATTGCTTCAGTGTACCACCATTAACAGATGCTAAAGCTATTGAGTGAAAGGATGTTAGGGAACAAAATAATCACATGGCTTCAAAGTAGCATCTCAGAGATCAGTTAATAATTCCAAAAGGAAGATGTACCTTTACCATGGTGAGACCTGGTAGACATACTCTTCCAAGCAGTCAAACTTCGGCATCAGCAATGGTAAGACGATGGGCACTGATCTTACACACTAAGAGGTACACAACACCCCCTAAGCAGAATTCTTTCCTGAATCTAAACAAGGAAATAGTCAGGCAAATCCAGAATTTGGAAAAAACCTGTATAAAAAAAAAAAAAAACTAGCTTAAAATGTCAAGGAAACCACCAAAAGGCAGAGATTTTTCTTGGCTAAGAGGGAGTAAGCAGATAACAACCAAATGCAATGTGTAAATCTTCATTAGACTGCACCTTAGAGGAGAAAAAAGTCTGCTTATGAAAGACATTTTTAAAATCTTAAAAAAAAAAAAGGGACACCTGGGTGGCTCAGTCCATTAAGCATCTGCCTTCGGCTCAGGTCAAGATCCCAGGGTCCTGGGATCGAGTCCCGCATTGGGCTCCCTGCTCAGCGGGGAGCCTGCTTCTCCTTCTGCCTGCCGCTCCCCCTGCTTTTGTGCTCTCTCTCTCTCTCCCTCTCTCTGACAAATAAATAAAATCTTTTTTTTTAAAAAAAGACAATTTTAAGACCATTGGAGGAATTTGAATATAGAGAATATATTCAATTGCATTATTGAATTAATGTTAATTTTCTTAGGTGTGATAGTAGTGGTATTGTGGTTATTTATTAGAATGTCTTTTTTCTAGAAGATCCATATTTTAGGCATTTAGGGGTAAAGTGTCATGATGACTGCATCCTACTTTTTTTTTCTTTTTTTAAGATTTATTTTTAGGGGCACCTGGGTGGCTCAGATGGTTAAATATCTGCCTTTGGCCCAGGTCACGATCTCCAGGTCCTGGGATCGAGCCCTATGTCGGGCTCCCAGATCAGCGGGGATTCTGCTTCTCCCTCTTCCTCTGCCTCTCCCCCTCCTTGTGCTCTGTGTGTGTGTCTATCTCTCAAATGAATAAATAAAATCTTCAAAAAAAATTTATCTTTAAGTAATCTCTACACCCAACATGGAGCTCGAACTTACAATCCTGAGATCAAAAGTTGGGGAATATTGAAGTGGAGACTTAGATACATAAATGAAAGGAGCACAAAGATTGGTTTAAGGGGTATTGAGATAATGTCCAAGTTTTCTACACTATTCTAGGATATGCTGGTTTGGTTTCACCTGGAGAATCCTGCACCTCTTTATCACACAAAGTTGTATCGCAGGCAGACTAGGCTGAATCCCACCCAGGGTGATCACCTGTCCCGGTTTGACCAGGACCAAGGGATTTCCCAAGAATGGGACATTCAGTGCTAAAATTGGGACAGTCCTGGGCAAACTGGCTCTAAGGTCACCCTAATATTTCTACTTACCACCTATGTGACCTTGAGCAAATCATTTAGCTCCCCAGAGTCTTGGTTTCCTCATCTATAAAAAGGAGATTACATATGTGCTACAAAATGGATGAACCTTGAAAATATTATGCTAAGTGAAAGAAGTCAGACACAAACATCATATATTATAGGATGATTCCATTTATATGAAATTTCCAGGATAGGCAAATCCATAGAGACAGACAACAGATTAGTGCCTGCCAGAGCCTGGAGGGTATGATTGCTAAGGGGTATGAGATTTCTTTTTGGGATGATGAAAATGTTCTAGAATTAGGTAGTAGCAGTTGTACAGCCCTGTGCATATACTAAAAAAACCACTGAATTGTACATTTTAAGAGGGCAGATTTTACGATATATGATGATCTCTCAATAAAGCTGTTATTTAAATAATTGAGTAACACAGCATCACCAACAATTCCACTCTTAGGAATAGGTAAATCTATAGAGACAGAAACAAAATTAGCGGGGCGCCTGGGTGGCTCAGTCATTAAGCGTCTGCCTTCAGCTCAGGTCATGGTCCCAGGGTCCTGGGATGGAGCCCCGCATCGGGCTCCTGGATGCTCAGCGGGAGGCCTGCTTCTCCCTCTCCCACTCCCTCTGCTTGTGTTGCCTCTCTCGGTGTGTATCTCTCTGTCAAATAAATAAATAAAATCTTTAAAAAAGAAAAAGATTTTATTTATTTATTTCACAAAGAGAGAGAGAAACAAAATTAGCGGTGACCTTGGGCTGGGAGGAGTGGAGGAAAATGGGGAGTGACTGCTCCTGAGAGTGGGGTGTCTTTTGGAGGGATGAAAATGTTCTAAAATTGATTGTGGTCATGGTTACATATCTCTGTCAGTATACTAAAAACTAATGAATGGTACACTTTAAGATTTTATTTATTTATTTGAGAGAGAGAGAGATCAGGAGCAGGGCAGGGTTGGGGGAGAGAGAGAGAGAGCATGAGTCGGGTGAGGAGCAGAGGGAGAGGGAGAAGCAGGCTCCCCGCTAAGCAGGAAGCCCGATATCAGACTTGATCCCAGGACCCTGGGATCATGAACTGAGCAGAAGGCAGATGTTTAACCAGCTGAGCCACCTGGGGGCCCCATTTGTTGTTTGTTTGTTTGTTTTTAAAGATTTTATTTATTTATTTGAGAGAGAGAGAATGAGAGACAGAGAGCACGAGAGGGAGGAGGGTCAGAAGGAGAAGCAGACGCCCTGCCGAGCAGGGAGCCCGATGCAGGACTCGATCCCGGGACTCCAGGATCATGACCTGAGCCGAAGGCAGTCGCTCAACCAACTGAGCCACCCAGGCGCCCGTGGGGGCCCCATTTGAATGGTATACTTTAAATGGGTGAATCGACTTGCATGGTATGTGAATTATAGCTTGATAAGGCATTAAACAGGTAATACGGTAAAAGTATTTTAGGTTAAACAAAGGAGATTATAATACCTATGTGAGGTCTAAATGAGTCTTTGCTCTCATAACGCTCACACCCCCTCCCAAAACACACTATCACACCAAATCATCATTGTGTAGGCTTTTTTTCTTGCCCACTGAGCTGAGAACCGTTTGATAACAGAAACTTTCTAATTCACAGAGGGCCAGTTTCCTGGGCATGGAACCTACTCAGTCACACAAGACCCCTACTCAGAAGAGCCCCACATTTGGTTTAACGCTCTGCTGTCACTGTCTTTTTTTTTTTAAGATTTTATTTATTTATTTGAGAGAGAGAAAGCACAGGAGAGGGGGGAGGGTCAGAGGGAGAAGCAGACTCCCCGCCGAGCAGGGAGCCCAATGCGGGACTCGATCCCGGGACTCCAGGATCATGACCTGAGCCGAAGGCAGTGGCTTAACCAACTGAGCCACCCAGGCGCCCTGCTGTCACTGTCTTGAAATTCTTAATATCTGAATGAGGTGCAGGCGACCCTCATTTCCATTTTGCACTGGGCCCGGCAAAGTTTGTAGCTTACTGAATCCACCTTTGTACCCCCAACATTTAGCATAGTACTGATGCTCAGTGGGTGTTCTCTATCCCAATCCCAGTGCCCTGAGACTTTGCTCAGAACAGCTCATTGACTTTCAACACCGATTTATCCAGAGTCTCCTACGTGCCAGGAAGCGTGTCAGCAGCTGGGGACACCGTGGGGAGCCAAAGCAGGCAGCAGGCTGCGGCAAGGGACTGGCTCAGAAGGAGGCTGTTCCCGCAGGTAAATGTGCCCACCTAACCACTTGTCTCAGACAGCAGTGACAACGTTTGACTCATTTGTACTTTCAGTTCAAGAAAAACACGTCACCTTGGGATCCGATTTTTGCAAGTTCTGCTTTATCACAGGAACTAGAAGACTCTGATGAATGAGGATGGGACTTCAGTTCTTTTCCATGGTGTGAATAAAAAGTTGACTCTGCCTTTTTTTGGTCTGTCCCAACACAAGACCCCATACTTTAAGATAGATGAAGAGATCTGTCAGCACCTTTTAATTCCATTTAGTTCCTATGTACAAAACACTAGGCTAGGCCTTGCTGCTGCTAGGAAGATTGCAGCTAGATCTTTTTAAGCTTGTCACACAAGCTCTTTGGGTAGTGATTCCGGTGGGCTACAGCATCATGGCAAGTCAGCAGAGAGCAGCTTGAGTCAAGACTCTGAAATTCCTGATATACCTGCCTTCCACTTGCTAGATGTTCTTAATTATGGTGAATTCCAGGGGCAATTCCTTAATCTCTCTGAACTTCAGTTTTCCAATCAGTTCATTGAAGGCTGGTGTCAAAGGGCTATAGTAAAGATTAAAAGAGATAGTGCACGCCTAACTTTTGGCATGGTGTCTGGCACTTAGTAAGAAAGCCACAATAAAAACAAAGGCTAAAACATCCTGTAAAACTGTGTTGTTTTACATCTTAATGGCTAAATAGGACTGTTCCTGGCATACAGCCACACATCATAAAATACTTCCGCCTGCAGCTGCTGTTCCACCAGCTAGAGGTGAAGGCAAACAGGTCTGACCAGTATCTCCCTAACTCTTTAAAGTCAGTGAGGTCCTCGTCCTCCCTCTCAGCCTTGGTGGGGACCCCACACCTGGCTCCCACACTCCTGGGTGCAGTATCTGTCTGGAGGAAGGCTAAGCGAGGGGGGCTGGAATGCCTGCAACGGCTGGAGGGGCCACCGAAGGGCAGAGTTAGACCTGTCCTGGCATCTTTAGCTTCTTTGGAACCTGGAGCCCACACCTCCCTAGCACAGTCTGCTCACTGAACACCTAAACACTTGGGTTCTCTCCCACCACCACCCATCATTGGTCAGTCATCAGAAATGGCTGGAAGGCAGCTTTCTTCAGCTGAAGAAGGGCAATTCTTAGAGAAATGCTCATCTGAGAGCTATCAGTTGACTCTCCCAGCAGGTGAGAGAATGACTGCCTCCATCCTGAAGCAGGGAATCTAGGGAGGCAGCACGTCACAGCATCCATGACAACAATCAAATGGTAGGAATTTCTGTCCCTATATCCCAGTCATTTCTAGGACTTCTGAAACGAGGATGAGCTGGGGGGAGGATAGAGAATCATGAGATATGCCATCAAATTTCATAGCCGGTTGTCTGGGAAAGTTCACTGAAAACTGCATGTAGTACAGTTATGTGTTCTTAACCAATCTTAGAGTTGATCCAAGCAAAAACTTTCTGAACAGATCTACAAAAAGTACAAAGAAGTCTTTATGTAAAATATCTACCAATTACAAGATTGTGTTTGCTTTCTTTTAAAATCTTCATTGTTGTATAGGCATAATGTTCACATAATCAAAAAACAGCAACAAAAAGGACTTGGTTTCTGGAAATTGACAGGACTGGGTTTGATCCCAGCTCTGTAACTTATTCTCTGAATGACTTCTATATAGTGACCTGTGTAGTGAAAACAATATTACCTAACACACCGGATTAATAAGAAAATGTACCTGGAGTACCCAGCACATTCAAATTTCTTTCTTTTTTTAATTTTTTTTTTAAGATTTTATTTATTTAGGGCGCCTGGGTGGCTCAGTTGGTTAAGCGACTGCCTTCGGCTCAGGTCATGATCCTGGAGTCCCGGGATCGAGTCCCATATCGGGCTCCCTGCTCAGCAGGGGGTCTGCTTCTCCCTCTGACCCTCCCCCCTCTCATGCTCTCTCTCTCTCATTCTCTCTCTCAAATAAATAAATAAAATCTTAAAAAAAAAAAAAGATTTTATTTATTTATTTGACAGAGAGACACAGCGAGAGAGGGAATACAAGCAGGGGGAGTGGGAGAGGGAGAAGCAGGCTTCCCGCCGAGCAGGGAGCCCGATGCGGGGCTCGATCCCAGGACCTGGAATCATGACCTGAGCCGAAGGCAGACGCTGAACGACTGAGACACCCAGGCGCCCCACATTCAAATTTCTTAATAAATGTTTCTTCTTCTTCTTCTTTTCCTCCTCTTTTATTATTATTTATTCTGCATTTCCCTGTCTGAGCACAAGAAAAAATACTGGGTTCTTACTCTCTAATAATCCACACATATAGTCTATTTTCTAGCACATTGATGTTGGGTTTTTTTTTTAGTATTTAATGAAATTCTCATCCTATATCCATTTTATGATGTTCCCACCTCTGGCCCTAATTTGACAATGCAGTGAGGCCTCTTTGTTAACGAATTTTAGTGTCATTTGAAAAATATGTTTACTAGGAAATCTCTTTAACTGACCTCAATTCTGTGGGCTGTTGTATCTCTTAACACTGAGTAAACAATGGGGAGATTTAAATCACTTGGCCCACTCACCAGTGAAACTGTTTTCAAAGATCATCTACATTTCATTTCCCCGGTAAGTAAAAACTATGTCGGCTGAGAAGATCATAGCCCTATTTGGGAATGTCCTTGAGATCTTATATATGGCCAGGATTAACCCTAAAGGCAACACTCACTGTTTGAGAGGCCTTGTGCCATATAAATGAATCAAACACAGATCTTATCTTCAAGGAGTTGGAAATTGCATAGAGATACGACATGTATATAAAGAAATTAATACAGGATGCCTGGGTGGCTCAGTCGGTTTAGTGTCTGCCTTTGGCTCAGGTCATGATCCCAGGGTCCTGGAATTGAGTCCGCCTTGGTCTCCCTGCTCAGTGGAGAGCCTGCTTCTGCCTTTAAAAAAAAAAAAAGAAGAAGAAGAAGAAAGAAATTAATACAACATAGAAAGCAGTAAATGTCCATTATGGACATTTGGGTCAATGTTTGTGTTGCCCCAAAATTCATATATTGAAATCTTAACCCCCAATGTGATGATATTAGGAGGTGGGTCTTTGGGAGGTGATTCAGCCCTCACAATTGGGATTAGTTCCTATAAAATTAGTTCCCCAAAGAGGTCTCCCACTCCTTCTGCCATTAGAGGACACAAGACAGTGGCCATCTATGAACAGGAAGTAGCTTCATCAGACCCTGAATCTTTTGGCAGCTTGATTTTTTTTTAATTTAATTTAATTTTATTATGTTATGTTAATCACCATACATTACATCATTAGTTTTTGATCTAGTGTTCCATGATTCATTGTTTGTGTATAAAACCCAGTGACCATGCAATATGTGCCCTCTTTAATAGCCATCACCAGGCTAACCCATCCCCCCAGCCCCCTCCCCTCTAAAACCCCAGTTTGTTTCATGGAGTCCATAGTCTTTCATGGTTCGTCTCCCCCTCCGATTTCCCCCCTTCATTTTTCTCTTCCTACTTTTTTTTTTTTTAACATATAATGTATTATTTGTTTCAGAGGTACAGGTCTGTGATTCAACAGTCTTACACAATTCACAGCACTCACCATAGCACATACCCTCCCCAGTGTCTATCACCCAGTCACCCTATCCCTCCCACCCCCCACTACTCCAGCAACCCTCAGTTTGTTTCCTGTGATTAAATATTCCTCATATCAGTGAGATCATATGATACATGTCTTTCTCTGATTGACTTATTTTGCTCAGCATAATATCCTCTAGTTCCATCCACGTCGTTGCAAACGGCAAAATTTCATGTTTTTTGATGGCTGCATAATATTCCATTGTATATATATACCACATTTTTTTAAATTTTATTTATTTATTTGAGAGAGAGAATGAGATAGAGAGAGCATGAGAGGGGGGAGGGTCAGAGGGAGAAGCAGACTCCCTGCTGAGCAGAGAGCCCGATGCGGGATTCGATCCCAGGACTCCAGGATCATGACCTGAGCCGAAGGCAGTCGCTTAACCAACTGAGCCACCCAGGCGCCCTATACCACGTCTTCTTTATCCATTCACTGTTGATGGACATCTTGGCTCTTTCCATAGTTTGGCTATTGTGGACTTTGCTGCTATAAACATTGGGGTGCATGTACCCCTTCGGATCCCTACTTTTGTATCTTTGGGGTAAATACCCAGTAGTGCAATTGCTGGGTTGTACAGTAGCTCTATTTTCAACTTTTTGAGGAGCCTCCCTACTGTTTTCCAGAGTGGCTGCACCAGCTGGCATTCCCACCAACAGTGTAGGAGGGTTCCCCTTACTCCACATCCCCGCCAACATTGTCGTTTTCCTGACTTGTTAATTTTATTGGCAGCTTGATCTTGAACTGCCCAGTCTCCAGAACCATGAGAAATAAAATTCTGTTGTTTAAGCCACCCTGTCTATAGTATTTTTGCTATACCAGCCTGAATGGACTAAGACAGTATCATAAGACAAATACAGAAAAAAAAACACAAGTTCAGGAAAAGATTTATTTCTGATTGAGAAAGTTAGGAAGGGCCTTGTGGAAAAGGGAAACCTCATACTGGCCCTCATGCTTGGGCCTAGAGAGATGGGAATAAATTGGACATGCAGGAATAAGAGTGATCTTGGAAAGAGAAAGTTACTACCAGTATTAAAAAAAAAAAAAAGTGATGGGGGGGTGCGTGGGTGGCTCAGTCAGTTAAGTGTCCAACTCTTGGTTTCGGCTCAGGTCATGATCTTGTGGTCATGGGATCGAGCCCCAAATTGGGCTCTGCGCTCAATGCAGAGTCTGCTTGAGATTCTTTCTCCCTCTCCCTCTGCCCCTCCCCACTCGTGTGCACACGCTCTCTCAAATAAATAAATAAAATCTTAAAAAAAAAGTGATGGTGACAGTTTCCACATCATAGGAAATGCTACGATTTCCTCTTCGTTTTAGGAAAACAATTGATGGACCTTTTGGTTACAAAAAGCAAGGTCTAGGGCGAAGAGGAAAAGTAGAAGTCAAGAGGCAGCTGAATTGCCCTGAAGAATCCAATAAACTAGTGTCTCCCTTGGGATAAAGAGGTTGTTCCAGAGTGAAATGATTTTGACTTCCTTTTGAGAGGCTCAGGGCAGGAGTTTTTGGGGGGCTTAGAACTCGAAGAAGTAAGGAGGCAATGAGATTCTATGAAAAGAGTGCAGTT